CTTCTACAGTACTACACCTATAGAGTGTACCCTCTTCTACATCCCCCATACAGTACTTTGCCATACAATATAACCCTCCTGTACAGTATATAAGCCTCTCACTTGTCCCCTCTGTCCGCCTTCACACTCCTCATTTTTTATCCTCGGAACCTCCAGGAGCGGAGTCCACACGGAACCGGAAGTGTCGCCACTCGCTAGTGCCAACGCCATTTTGTTGGTTATCGATATTCAACTATAACTACAGCTATAGAGATCCGTGATCGACAACCAATATAATGGCGGCAGTGCTCCGTCCGGCGACATTATATCGGTACCGCGATGCTACGAGGAAAATAAAGAGATCACGTGACAAAGAGCACCGCCCATAGCCAGACCAGTGACATGGACGAAAACCCAGAACACCGATCCGCAGTGCTGCCTGAGATCCGTGATCGACAACCAATATAATGGCGGCAGTGCTCCGTCCGGCGACATTATATCGGTACCGCGATGCTACGAGGAAAATAAAGAGATCACGTGACAAAGAGCACCGCCCATAGCCAGACCAGTGACATGGACGAAAACCCAGAACACCGATCCGCAGTGCTGCCCCCTAGAGGAGGACACCGAGCCCCAGTGCTGCCCCCTAGGAGGACACCCATCCCCAGAGCCGCCCCCTAGGAGGACACCCATCCCCAGAGCCGCCCCCTAGGAGGACACCCATCCCCAGAGCCGCCCCCTAGGAGGACACCCATCCCCAGAGCCGCCCCCTGGAGGAGGACACCCATCCCCAGTGCTGCCCCCTGGAGGAGGACACCCATCCCCAGTGCTGCCTCCATAGAGGACACCGATCCCCAGAGCCGCCCCCTGGAGGAGGACACCGATTCCCAGTGCTGCCCCCTGGAGGAGGACACCCATCCCCAGTGCTGCCCCCATAGAGGAGGACACCCATCCCCAGTGCTGCCCCCTGGAGGAGGACACCCATCCCCAGAGCCGCCCCCTAGGAGGACACCCATCCCCAGAGCCGCCCCCTAGGAGGACACCCATCCCCAGAGCCGCCCCCTGGAGGAGGACACCCATCCCCAGTGCTGCCCCCTGGAGGAGGACACCCATCCCCAGTGCTGCCTCCATAGAGGACACCGATCCCCAGAGCCGCCCCCTGGAGGAGGACACCGATTCCCAGTGCTGCCCCCTGGAGGAGGACACCCATCCCCAGTGCTGCCCCCATAGAGGAGGACACCCATCCCCAGTGCTGCCCCCATAGAGGAGGACACCCATCCCCAGTGCTGCCCCCTGGAGGAGGACACCCATCCCCAGTGCTGCCCCCATAGAGGAGGACACCCATCCCCAGTGCTGCCCCCTGGAGGAGGACACCGATTCCCAGTGCTGCCCCCTGGAGGAGGACACCCATCCCCAGTGCTGCCCCCATAGAGGAGGACACCCATCCCCAGTGCTGCCCCCTGGAGGAGGACACCGATTCCCAGTGCTGCCCCCTGGAGGAGGACACCCATCCCCAGTGCTGCCCCCATAGAGGAGGACACCCATCCCCAGTGCTGCCCCCTGGAGGAGGACACCGATTCCCAGTGCTGCCCCCTGGAGGAGGACACCCATCCCCAGTGCTGCCCCCATAGAGGACGACACCCATCCCCAGTGCTGCCCCCTGGAGGAGGACACCGATTCCCAGTGCTGCCCCCTGGAGGAGGACACCCATCCCCAGTGCTGCCCCCATAGAGGAGGACACCCATCCCCAGTGCTGCCCCCTGGAGGAGGACACCGATTCCCAGTGCTGCCCCCTGGAGGAGGACACCCATCCCCAGTGCTGCCCCCATAGAGGAGGACACCCATCCCCAGTGCTGCCCCCTGGAGGAGGACACCGATTCCCAGTGCTGCCCCCTGGAGGAGGACACCCATCCCCAGTGCTGCCCCCATAGAGGAGGACACCCATCCCCAGTGCTGCCCCCTGGAGGAGGACACCGATTCCCAGTGCTGCCCCCTGGAGGAGGACACCCATCCCCAGTGCTGCCCCCATAGAGGAGGACACCCATCCCCAGTGCTGCCCCCTGGAGGAGGACACCGATTCCCAGTGCTGCCCCCTGGAGGAGGACACCCATCCCCAGTGCTGCCCCCATAGAGGACGACACCCATCCCCAGTGCTGCCCCCTGGAGGAGGACACCGATTCCCAGTGCTGCCCCCTGGAGGAGGACACCCATCCCCAGTGCTGCCCCCATAGAGGACGACACCCATCCCCAGTGCTGCCCCCTGGAGGAGGACACCGATTCCCAGTGCTGCCCCCTGGAGGAGGACACCCATCCCCAGTGCTGCCCCCATAGAGGACGACACCCATCCCCAGTGCTGCCCCCTGGAGGAGGACACCGATTCCCAGTGCTGCCCCCTGGAGGAGGACACCCATCCCCAGTGCTGCCCCCATAGAGGACGACACCCATCCCCAGTGCTGCCCCCTGGAGGAGGACACCGATTCCCAGTGCTGCCCCCTGGAGGAGGACACCCATCCCCAGTGCTGCCCCCATAGAGGACGACACCCATCCCCAGTGCTGCCCCCTGGAGGAGGACACCGATTCCCAGTGCTGCCCCCTGGAGGAGGACACCCATCCCCAGTGCTGCCCCCATAGAGGACGACACCCATCCCCAGTGCTGCCCCCTGGAGGAGGACACCGATTCCCAGTGCTGCCCCCTGGAGGAGGACACCCATCCCCAGTGCTGCCCCCATAGAGGACGACACCCATCCCCAGTGCTGCCCCCTGGAGGAGGACACCGATTCCCAGTGCTGCCCCCTGGAGGAGGACACCCATCCCCAGTGCTGCCCCCATAGAGGACGACACCCATCCCCAGTGCTGCCCCCTGGAGGAGGACACCGATTCCCAGTGCTGCCCCCTGGAGGAGGACACCCATCCCCAGTGCTGCCCCCATAGAGGACGACACCCATCCCCAGTGCTGCCCCCTGGAGGAGGACACCGATTCCCAGTGCTGCCCCCTGGAGGAGGACACCCATCCCCAGTGCTGCCCCCATAGAGGACGACACCCATCCCCAGTGCTGCCCCCTGGAGGAGGACACCGATTCCCAGTGCTGCCCCCTGGAGGAGGACACCCATCCCCAGTGCTGCCCCCATAGAGGACGACACCCATCCCCAGTGCTGCCCCCTGGAGGAGGACACCGATTCCCAGTGCTGCCCCCTGGAGGAGGACACCCATCCCCAGTGCTGCCCCCATAGAGGACGACACCCATCCCCAGTGCTGCCCCCTGGAGGAGGACACCGATTCCCAGTGCTGCCCCCTGGAGGAGGACACCCATCCCCAGTGCTGCCCCCATAGAGGACGACACCCATCCCCAGTGCTGCCCCCTGGAGGAGGACACCGATTCCCAGTGCTGCCCCCTGGAGGAGGACACCCATCCCCAGTGCTGCCCCCATAGAGGACGACACCCATCCCCAGTGCTGCCCCCTGGAGGAGGACACCGATTCCCAGTGCTGCCCCCTGGAGGAGGACACCCATCCCCAGTGCTGCCCCCATAGAGGACGACACCCATCCCCAGTGCTGCCCCCATCCCCAGTGCTGCCCCCTAGAGGAGGACACCGATCCCCAGTGCTGCCCCCCACCCCATCCACCAGAGACCACAACGCCCGTCCATTCACCAGAGACGAGACCACAGTCGGTCTTACACAGAGACATGACAAGCAGGCAGATGAATAGAAATATAGGACTTTTATTATTGATTGTTGCCGGGTGAGAAGACATCGCTCATGTGTCACAGGACGGTATTGAGGAGCTCAGAGAATATTTCCTCCAATCAGAGAGAAGTAAATACGATTCGGAGGGGGAGGAGTCAGGAGGTGAGGAGTCATCACATTCCGCAGAGAAGTATTTGTTTGTCTGAAACTTTTCTTGCACAACAGATAAGTGTGACACGTCCCCCCCCCAACCCCCGGTGTTGCGCAATCGCTGACTCTTCACCTGCAGGGCCGCCTGAACATGTCACAAGTCTTATGTACAGAGAGGTATTCATACACACAATGGTGCTCGGGGGAGGGGGCCCGTGTGGCCCCGCACGGGGTTATAACTTTATAGAGAAGGACGCTCCACATGAACAGCCTTGGTCGGCCTGAGGGTTCTGCGTCAGCTGGAAGGAACTTCGGATCAACTCTTCACAATATTCAATGGTGCTCCCCCTCACCAACTGGAGGCTCTGCGTGTCCACCACCACCTGGGCCCCGTGCACGCCGAATCCCTCCAAGCACCCCCATGTGTGCCGTACCATCCCCTCCAAGCACCCCCATGTGTGCCGTACCATCCCCTCCAAGGACCCCCCTGTGTGCACGCTCACCTGTCCTCCTCCGTCATGTCTTTGTCCAGGATGAACTTGTACTGGAATCCCGAGCATCCCCCGCTCTCCACCTGAAGTCTCAGGAACTCCGAGCCGCCGGTCACCTCGCGCAGCCTCTGTGACAACACAAATCACATGACCAGAGGAGCTGAATACTCCCCCAATCCCGATAGCCCACCCCCTGATAGTCCATCCCACCCCTGAGTATCCCGATAGTCCATCCCCACCCCCTGGGTATCACCTTCTCCCCCTCACCCACTAGTTATTCCCTCCCACCAGGGTGCTCGGGTGTACCCTCTGGATACTCCCCCCGCCCTACTCTTTGGCTGAGTCACATATCAGATGATAGGAATTTGGGGAGTGTTAGAATAACTCTGGAGCTGGAAGACAGTATGAGGGGGAGGAGCTGTGAGACGTCACATGACCCTGACATTGGGACAGACGATGGCAGCCATGACACTTCCGTCTCTTACTCTGACGCAGCTCTCGGCCAGGAAAATCTCCCCATCCGCCTGAACGTCCGACCGGCTCCGTACAGACTGACCGCACGTCCGGTGGGCGAAGACCCTGAGGGGAGAGAGGGGGGGTCAGTGTATGACCACAGGATGGGGGACCGTCCTGTGCCCGGTGTCACGCTCGGTAAACACGTGACCGGAAGTATCTCACCTCCGTCCCGGTCTCAGCAGGTCTTTCAGTATACGCGCAGCGGCCATCTTATATTTCCAGCTCCACCCACCCTGCACTCTGATTGGCGGAAGGATGTATGGTGGTGTGACGTCACTAAGGGAGAGGCAACCCGGAAATCACAAGACTTCTAACAACAACCGACCGAAGAAGAGGTGAGAGCGGGGAAAGGGGGGTAACCATGGCAACTGTACACCGGGCGGGGGTCGTCTTCATCCCCGGGCTTCACTGCCGGGAGCGGAGACTTTAATCTGAGTGTATACGAGGGGTGTATATAGAGGGTGAGTGTATACGGGGGGG